ATTTCTATAACGATAAATATTTGATTGACATTCAAAAGCTATTTTATAAAGATTTTCARTTTCTCTTTGCGTTTTAGCTTCGATTTTTCGGATAGAATAAAATGACAGGCAGCCTACTCCACTGGGTCGAGTTTTGCTGTGCAAATTCCTCCCGTCGGGGGGTTATGTTTACAACATAAGCTTGTCAGCTTTGCGCTGATTGGCTAGTCGCATTTTCTCAAATCACCCAGCTGTTAAAAAACCTCGAAAATATTCTAAGTGGCATGAAATACATTAGCATTATCTATAACCACCGATGGAGATGAGTAATAAATGTAACCTGGGGTGGGGAGGTTTCAAACAAAATTGCTTAAATAGCGACATGGTCAACCCGTCAAATACATTTGTCAACCCGTGTCATGTCGGAGTGTTGGACAACCCAGGATGGCCGCACTGGTCCATATCACGCACTTTCATGAAAGTTGCCATAAAAGTTCATCTAATTTTCTTAAAGAATATATTCAAATAACCATAACAATAACAATGTACTTCTGACGTAGAGTATGTATGTGTATTTGTAGATCATGTTGTGAACTGTGCTCAAGTCTTGCAGAACGGCCATAGCAAAAGTGGAGTATACACTGTACGACCGGATGCTGGAAGTGCTTTTCAGGTATGAAATTCTTCATTATTCTTAACACAATAGAACGATTTCACATAAGCGTTTTTAACATGCAAATGAGTTTTTCGAGTATTTAACATGCAAATTAGTTGTCACCTGAGATGAGTTGTTACCTTGAAAACTTCAGTCAAAGCTGGCAACCCTCATAGCCTCCTCGTGAGAACGACGAAAGACAGCTACGTACAGAAAGAGGCCCAGGAGGCACACAACCATATGCAAGAAAGTAATAATTGCAAAGCTGAAGACCACGCATACCCAGGGAAGATTTTTGAAGACTTTCCGAACTTTGGAAAAATATTTCTCTGCACAGAGTTGAAGGAGTGACACTTAAAATAGTCGGTTGACATGATGGTTTATCTGTTTTAAAATCACTGATAGGACTTTCGCTGTTAGAAATTGAGCGTTTAGGCAGAAATAATTTTTTTGAGTGCAAGCGCTTGGAAGCCGCTCCGAGCGGGAGTTGCAAACCTTTACACTCGGAATAGAAGGGAGCAAATCTTCGAAGTGCTCAAAAACACTCCAGAGACACTTTTATGCTAATATTATCAAACTCATTAATAATTCATAGGATTGTAAGCCAATGATATGCTATTATACGACCACGTGACGACATTTTTAGTAGTAGAGAAAAGCGCAACATTCTAAAAGTCGGGGGCGGCATTGAATATTTTCAGGGGAGTGCGGGGCTGATAAAGCATTAATGAATAAAACATTAGTCCTTTATCAATTTACGATAAAGGACTAATATTTTATTCATTAATGCTTTATCAAGATCAAATGCAAGACGCCAAAGCAACATATAGTCTTTAATTTTCAAGTTTTACCTTTAAGCTAGATAAATACATCTGTGTTATTACTTAACTGTTCAATCATTTTGAATTAGTAAACGTTACATTGGTGAAAGTGCAGTTACTAAACACTAATTTAGGTGGACTAGCTGTACAAGCTTCACTAACTTTTGGTGTAGGCCGAGTTACACTGGTAGTGGCACTCTCGTAATCTATGCCTGCTAATATTTCATCTGCCACATCTTCATTAAACATCAAATCATCATCAGATAAATTAATGCTGCATAATGTTTCATCAGAAATTACATTATCAAAAACATTATCCCCTAAGGTATCAAACAGATTGAACTCAAATGAAGGGTAATTTGTACTATCGTTAGCCTCGGAATTACAAGGACCTAAAATTGAACTCGCTTGCTTTAACTGTTGATTTGAGACTCTTTCATATTTGAAAAGTGAATCTGATTTGTGACCCGTTCGATCTCTAATAAGCTTCTCTTCAATACCACTTTGAAAAAGCCTAGTTGCAGTGGTTATCCTTAATGAATGTGCTGTCTTCCTTGGCAGGCCGGCCTTAGCACAAAGCTCATCTGGTAGAATACCATTTAACTTATTTTCACCTAGAGGTCTTTGCTCAAATTCAAACTTACTGAAATCGCGATTTGGATAGAAATAGAAAGCCTTATCCTGTACTACTGAATCAAAAATTTTGATTTTTTCAAGATACAACTTATACAATTGTACTAAGCACCTGGGATGCTCTTTACCTGAATCGTGGCAAAAATGAGTGGATACTCTTGGTGTATTTTTTAGATCTTTGAGGCCACCGTGAAACGTTTTGCTAAAACTTTCGTCAAAAGTGATTATGTTATCAGTAATCCTGAAATTAGCTATTCGCAAATTGCGATGGTCTTTCGCCCTTAGACCAAATAATTTTCCATTATAGAAATAAATAGTGTGCAATAAACTAGTAGCACAATTACCCCCTAACAGTCCTTTAGACCAAAGTATCTCCTCTTCTTCTGCTGTAACTGGTTCTCGTTGTGGTTTTGTGTTCTTAAGGCCAAATCCTTTTTTTGTGGACTCTTTCATTTCGGCGTCCATGACTTTTCTTAGCAAGGAAAATCTAGAATAAGAAGGTAAAGTCTTTATATAAAGCTTACGGTATGATTTACTCATATTGTTTTAATTTAACATTNTAGCTTTGATATACTTTTTCATTACAAAGGTATACTGCGACCAAGAAACCAATGGCGGTGGATGGACGGTGATCCAGAGAAGACAAGATGGCTCACAAGACTTTTATCTGGGATGGCAAAGCTATAAGCTTGGTTTTGGTAGTCTTACAGGAGAATTCTGGTTGGGTCTGGACAACATCTACCGACTGACCCGAAATATAAAGAACCGTCTTCGTGTTGAACTGGAAGACACTGTTTATGCTGAATACGACTATTTTGCTGTCAGTAGTGAAGTTGATAAATATACTTTGAGTCTTGGTTCATATTCTGGTAAGACCGGGAAAGAGTACAATATTGTCAAATTCCTGAGCCGCGATCTAATATTCATTGACATTAACATATAATCTCTAAAATGAAATGTTTGTGAAAATGTACGAAATTTTTTCAGATTGGAGCGCCGTGGGACTAGGTAAGTGGTTATAAGGTAAGTAATTTTGACGGAAAGATTGTGGATCGAAAATCGAGTCATGAATATAATTTTTTTCTCCGTTGGGTTCCTGCTCTTTAATTACGTGGGCTTCCTGTGGAAGCACACGTCTAAAAATGCAACTGGCGTTTTCGTCGTGGTACGCTTCAAATCAATCTCGTTCCAGAGCCCGCGTTCCTCTTGCCCTGAGGGCGCGAGCAACCACGAACTCTGGCCTAATCCATATTTTGCGCGCTTTTCATTGGTCGATAGAATTTCCTCATTACGAATGCGGACGTCTCCGGAAGTAAAATTTGACCAATCATAGCTGCGAAAAACAGCGCCAAAATTCGGGCGCGAGCGCGACGAGGAGTCCTAGCTCCAATGAAGATGTTGCAAAATTGTAAACAAAAATTAATTGTAAAGTGTAGCAACAGAGTGTAGCAATGTCTTCTCCGAACAAAGCGGTGACGCAGCAAGTTTATAATAATTGTAGACTTTGCAATAAACTTATAGATCGCTACAAAGTAGATTTGTTTGGAGACAAGTCGAAGTGAGAGGGCGTTTTAACGTCGTCTTTGCAAGATATATGCTCGGTAGATAACATACATGAAGACGACGGTTTCTCTGGATATTTATGTGACATTTATGTCTTATGTAGACTGTGCGCCACAAATCTCGTTAGTATTAGCGAAAAAATTCAAAATTTCAAATGTCTTTACCGGCAAACACAACAACACTTTCTAAAATTTCAAATTGTTTGGTTTTCAAAGGTAAATTTGGCATTCCTATAGCCGCTAGACCGTGGTCTAGCGAACTATAAAACAAATTTTCCGCCATTTTTCTTTTTGACACGCATGCGCAATTTAACCGGAACACCAGAAAATCTGATGAAAAATATGGATTAGGCCAGTGTTCGTGGTTGCTCGCGCCCTCAGGCCAAGAGGAACGCGGGCTCTGGAAGGAGATTGGCTTCAAATTGGTAGCGCATCGATAGCGCATGCGTTACAGTCTCAGTTTCCATGGAGATGTCAAAATAAACCAATCAGCGATTTTTGGTAGCGCCTGCGTTGCAGCTGGACTGCAGTCTCAGAATGAAAACGAAATGGCTGACAGACGGCGACAAAAAGTTGTCTCGTTTCAAATGGTTCTAAAATGTAGCTAAAATGCTCTAAAGAGCTGAAAATCTTACAAAATCAACTGATTACCATCCAAACGACATGGATTGAGGTATATAATTCAAGATTAGCGGATGATTCGTGCAGAAATGACTGGGCATTTTCTACCGCCGACTCGAAGAGCACTACTTCTTCGTCACACAAGTGTTCGATGTCAAACACAAAATCTTCAAAAATAAGAAATCACATGGATATTTAAGGTTCATACTTTGACAGAAAACAATCATT